TTTCATGTCTACAAATCGATCCTTTCGTCATAAACTGGATTTTTTTCTTTCTCGAAAACAGAAAACAAGTAGGTAGTCAAAATTAAGCAATCATCATCGCGTCCGTATACTGTTGCATGCGGGGTCCCCTAGGGTAGTGTTCTCGGTCTTCTCTTGTTTTTAATATACATTACTGACCTTTCTTCTTCCATAACAAATTAGGCTTTTCGCCGACGATTGCGTTATTTACTGAAATGTTATTACAAATAACGATTCAACTCTACTTCAAGACGATTTAAATACTATATCTTCGTGGTGCTCTATGTGGCAAATGAACATAAACGCTCGCAAATGTGAACAAATGTCCATCACTAAGTCTTCTACAATAACAGAATCGCAATATTCATTGTTATCATAACACCCGGAAAATGTAGCATCGTGTAAGTACTCGGGAATACATTTTACGGACACTTATCACGGAACGACCACATTGAATGGATTACAAGCAGTGCCTTAAAAACGCTTGGCTTCTTGCGACGAACATTATACCTTGCCCCACCTAAAACAAAACTACTCGCATACAAGACAATAGACATTCCCAAATTAGAGTATGCGTGCACCATTTGGAACCCCCCCACAACTTAACTTCTGCAAAGGCTAGAATCTGTCCAGAACAAAGCAGCAAGATTTATATGCGACTACTCACCGGAAACTAGGGTCTCGGCCTTAAAAACTAGCAATAATTTCTCCCCTCTAGAACTAAGACGTAAAATAACTCGGCTGTGTTTTTTTTTTTCATAGCATGCATTACAGCGATTCACCTTTTAAATCAGTTTACTGCCGCCCAGCCAGTTTTACATCGCCAAGACTAGATCATTCTCGGAAACTAGAACCATTCTTTAGTCGCACTAACACTTCCCTTTTCTCCCCCTTATTACTTTGTATCAGAGACTGGAATGCATTACCTGATCATATTGTTACCGACAGATTTCCCATTTCATTTAGAGACCAATGTTCACTATTGTTTAACCTCACCTTGATTATGTTTTTGTATAATCGCTTTTGTGCTCTGTTTGTGCTTTATTCTTTCTTTATTTCGCTGTGTTTGACGACATTGGGTGCATCCGCGATCACATTTAACTTTTCCGTGTTTTGCTTTTTTTTTTTTCTTTTTTAACCTTTGTCATTTGTTTTGAATCTCCCCTCATGTAATGCGTCCTTCGGACGCCCTTGAGGTGAATAAAATGAAAAAAAAAAAAAAAAAAGAATCGTGCGTGGGTGATTCTCTGCAGTACACACGCTCACACTCTGAAAAAAGCCCGTGCGTCTACTTTCCCGCACAACGCTCGGAGAGCCAATCACCGCAACTTACGGAGACGGCTCAGCGCATGACGATGCCGAAACATATGTTTAGACCAAAGAAAATAATAAAAGCAATGCTCCGCATTGCTTTTATTATTGTTAAGTTCATAGACCGCCTTATATTTCAATCAAAGCAATAGTTCTTAATCAATGACACATTTATCAAACTTTTCAAGCACCTAAAAAGTGCTTAGCAGCATGCCACTTTTCCTCAATACGACGTCCAAGTTCTTTCCGGACCTCGTGCGTTGATTTACCCCCGAAAAGCAGCTGCGTACTTTTGCTTCCCCCCGACCTCGACCAATGACGGCGCGCGCTTATACTTCGTCTCACTAAAACCGTGCAGCACAGCCAAAGCTACAAAGAAGAGAGTAAATGTATCCCGATCTGTTCAAGAGGAGGGAAAGGAGGAACGGGGAAATCCTAGGGTGCCTTCATGTGCGCTTTGCTTAGGGTGGAAACATCTGACCATTTCGTCCCACACGTTTAGTTTTATTTTTAGTTCAGAAGCGCGTGAAAGAGCCCGTACCTGCACGCGTTTGTGGCGCTGACTGTGTTTAGGCGACATTTTGTATTCGTCGATTTTTTCCTCATTTTTGTATTTTCCCCCTGAGCGCGTGCTGTCGGCATCGGTTACATTGAGGCACCCTAGAGAATCCCAGCCCTTCTATCCCGTTCCTCCTTTCCCTCCTCTTAAACAGGTTGGCATACACTCTCTCCCTTATAGCTTTGGCTGTACTGCACGGTTTTAGGGATCGAGGGTTCCCTGCGTGTTCTCCGTACTGCCCTTTAATTGGCGTGCCCCCTCCTTGCAGTGCCGCTGCGCCGGAGACGAGTTCTGGGGCCCTAAACCAGTCGAACACAAAGTTGGAGCCGAAAGTTCGCGGAGCGCGCTGATTGGACGCCGGCGAAAAAAGCGCGAAGTCATCGTCGTGGCAGGCCAATCGGTGCGCTCAGTCAACTTCGGCCTTAACTTTGTGTGTGACGAGTTTAGGGGCCTTGGAACACTTACTCGCCGTACACACTATGCATTTCTTTTTGTGCACTTCTACTGCAGTCACCAGCCCGTGACAACTTGAATGTGCCAAGCAAACCAATAAATTTAATGAAAAGGCTTTGTGAACACTCACTATTTCTGCATCGCTAAAGTAAACGAATCCCAGCAAACCCTTGTGTCCATTATACTCCAGTTCCATAATTTTAACAATGATGTCAGCCTTCGTATCAGGCCGAATCGTTTCAAGGTCCCAAAATTATGTGGCTACAAATTCTTTATCGGTGCGCAGGCTTATTCAATTTGTTATACCGCTATACGAACAGCTGAAGTTTGCCACCCAGTGTTTTTTTGTTTACAGAATCCATATATTGTAAATTCCCCCGACAGGGGAAAAAATCTGCATGCAACTGGTGCTACCGTGGTAACACATTGCACTTCAGGGCAGGTGATGAATACTTAGCAGCACACCGTGTCAGGAAGTGGGACTTCATTTACACCTTTGATACTATGCCGCGTGGTAAACAGACGTAATAATATATCAACTTAACAACAAACAAAAAAAGCCTTTTGTAAGCGACCAGTCGACCAGTCACCACTACTGCCGCCAATGAAATACTTGAATCGATTAAATGACCTCGTGCAGTTTCTGGGAAGCGACCGAGAAAGTAAAAATTCTCCTTAGCAACCGTGTGTTGTGGCACTGAATTAAAGGAGGCGCCCTGTTGCTACAGTAGAAACATCACTGGTGAGACCCCTCTAATGAGGTGTTCCTCGAACTTCATTGATTTCTTTGGACTTACCGATTGACCCAACCGTTCCAAGGCCGCGTACATACCGCAAGCAAGCAAAAAACTTAAAATTATAGCCGTAGATCCAGGCTTATACACACTTTCATTGAGTGCGACGGGACGCAGATGTGTCCAACCTGGTACCTCGCTAAGCGAATGTTTTACTTAACCCAGTTCAACCACTGATGTTTCGCGGACCCCTCGTGGATCGGCGGAGATGATGGGGGAGTCCGTACATGGTGAGGGGAAGGGGAAGGTATAGGTTTTGATAATTATTCAATACATGAATATAAGTATAACTAAGGGCGAGCGCAAAATAGACTACTCTCATTGACATACACGCGAGAACTCACCCGAAAATTGGAATGTTTCTACTCATTCTATACACCTGAAAAGAACGAGATTTTTATTGCTGAGCTTGACCAATAAGGCAGTGCTTCGCGGACCCCCATTTGAGAACCACTCACTCAACCGAATAAGTTTGCCTGGTAACAACACTGGCTCATAGCAATAGGTGTGCCTTTTGGGTAATTCGTATTCCATCAGACGCCTAGCACACAATTCGGAAGCAAAATTTCAGGAAGGTTTTCGTTCCCCTCCTATACATCCACAAACAGTGAAGAACAATGCTTGAAACCCAGTCATCTGGCTTTGATGTTTGATCACTTGACGAAAAAAGTTCCAGGTGTCTACGTCGAACATTTGCAAGTGAGGGGGGAACAGAGGCTGTACGCACAATTGCAGTGTCGCGCTCCAGTACTGGTTTGGGTTCGTATGAAGCGCATTTTGCAAGCAGCCACCCATCTGGTTTAAGCAACGTGCATACGAAATTTTCTTAATCAGAGCGGAAGTATAGCACTCGATATCAGCTAGAGAATACAAATGAGCCTCATAACAAAACTAACATATTGGAAGTAACCGGCGACGCTTTTGGCGAAGTTCCAACTCTGGCAGAGATATCACAGCTTAAGGCGTTCGCTCCTCCTGCTCTCGGAAATTCGCTACCCTGTCAGAAATATCGTTGATATTTCACGTTCATGTCTTAGGATTTGAATGTTTTTCTTCAATGACACACCGAGTTAGTTAATTGAATGGCTTGCGGGTTTACATATTGACGATGCGGTGGACAAAAGAAACGAACGCGTGAACGCACTTCACTCGTTGGCTCAACTGGTCGACGGTAGGAATTACGTGTGTAGGCGGGTTGAGGCGTAAAAGATATTTCTCAAGAGTGGGCAAACGCGTTCACAATTACTGGGTTCTAAACGGCAATACCTTGGGATAGCTTAAGTGTACTTGCCAGCCCTTGCATATGAAAAACAAGTCCCGCAATCACGATCTCCGTCGTGTCGCAGACACTTCTGATAAGTATAGGGTTCCGTGTTTTCGATAATATCTCTAAACCTCTGAGGCGGTTTTATCAAACTCCTAAGAACTAAAAAGCCCACAGTTGAAGCTTTCCTTTACTGAGAAAAGTCCAAGTTCCCCGGGCGAAAATATTTTGATTTCGAGTTCGGCCTGATCACAGCGGCACTCCGCGAGGCTGCTTTCTTCGGAAACCGTAGCCCCTCATTCCGCGTTGTTTTTTTTTTTTTTTGTTTTTTTTTTTGGTAACAGACTTTTTTACAAATATTCAGGTCACGAGCATGTTCTCTGGAGGTTGGGAAGTTCAATGTCTATATTTTGTTTCCTCAGCATAAGGCCCGACAAACAGCGTTTTCTTGTCTGACACAGAAATTAGAGGTAAAATAAAAAAAAAACCTCGAATTTTAAGAAAAATAAACCTTGAAAACACGGAACCCTACTTATAAGCGTTCGGAAAGAGTAAGGTATATTTTCTGACGTTGCTCCTATCTTCACTTCATTGATTGATGTAACACGAGACAAGCATTTTATTGATAAAGCGTTCTTCTGGACGCCATTTTTCTGAAAGACAGAAACATAAAAATGCCACACTGTGGTGAATAGTAGGCACTTAATGAATGAATTTTCAATGAACACTTTGATGGTTCTCTTGGTCCAGGCACGAAAGGCACGCCTTCCCAGAGTTACGTACGCAGGAAACACCACACGAAAAGTATCGAAAACAAACCAGGTTCTTTCCCGCAAGACTTCTGTCACTGTTGCCAGCGGAATACAGGCATCTCACATTTATTCTGACGCATCTCTCCCTAGTCAAACGGGGCGGAAAAGCTTCTGGCAGGTTCCGAACGACAGTCGGGGGGTGTGACAGCGTGAGTTCAATATCCGAGAAGGCAAGCGAAAGGCCTTAGCAGAGCGCGCTATATTTCGGTTTCGAGGCACTTGTTGCTCCCCATCAAGAGTTCTTGAGACGAGCTCAGCTGTCGCTGACAGTCCGCATCGTCACTGGAAAGCGTATCGCTCTTCGACGAGATGCTCACTGTCCACTCCGACATGAGCGGCTGCTTGTCGGGGCCAGGGTTGGACTGCTTCGGCGCGTACATTCGGAACGGCTGCGCGTCTGTCGAGCGGAACGGCTTGGGCTGCAACGACGGCGGAGGGGTCGGCAACCCCACGGTGTTATACTTCTCCAGATCCACCGGCCTGACGGGTTCGTACGAAGAGGTCGTTGTGTCCAGTTCAGAGGGATACCCTGTCGTCCTCGTCGACTTGCTGTAGGAACTGTTGCTGGTGTCTAAAAGGTTTGCCTTTGAATTGTCCAGGAAAAGGTCAGGGACCGACTTGTGCTGGAGTTGCCTCTGAATGTCCGGTGGACGTTGGTCCCGTAATGGACCAGACAGCTTCGCGGCGCTCGGTTCGGCCGCTTTCCGGCGAACTCGACTCAGGTCATCCTGGCTCTGGGACGTACTTCCTGGCGCCGCGGGTGGGCGTTGCGTCATGCCGGGCAGGGCGATGCCCGTTACCTTGCGCGGCACTGGGGGCTTTCCGGCCGTGGCTTCCCGCTGCCTTAGGTAGGCGATACCGACGCGAACCGGCTCTTCGCTGAGAATATTGTGGCAGCTCGCCGCCAACCTGTGATCCAGCTGCGGAGTGCCGCACTTGGGAGCACTACTCTGCTGGTGCTGCGCAGGCTTCACCGCGGAGTCGAAGGACGTCTCATCGTCCAGATCTGAGACAGACTTGGAGGTTTGTTTAAACGCTGTCAGAGGCACGCGACCCCGACCCTTGACGGCAGGTTTGGGCGCTTCCTTCATGACTGTTGAGCTGCCAAACACTGTATCGTTGGCGTGCAGGCCCAGAGAAGCAAAGTCACTGACACTCGAAGGGGCATTGGGAAATTTCTTCGCGCTTTTCTGCTTGCTTTTTTTGAGGCTGTCTGCAGCCCTGGGAGCTTTAGGGATCTCGGGAATCTTCGGCGACTCCTGGAAGTCTTGGTCGCCAACCTTCGCCTTCACAGTGCGAGGTGAGCTTGTAACCGGCTTTTGCTGCTTTTTGGTCCCGGGCACATCTACGGACGAGTTGTGGAAGAACTCCCCTTTCGCCACAGCCGTGTTAAGAAAGCCATCGCTGGCTCGCGATAACGAGGTAATGCCGTTTGGGCCGTCTCTAGAGCGGACGGACACCTCCTTCAGGTCGTTTAAAGAGCCGTCTTTGACGCTGCTTCCGTTCAGCGTCGGGGACTTGAACATTTCCATGGGCTGTTTGGATGGCTGCTGGCGGCGTTTGGTGCACACACAAGCAGACAGTGACACGAAAACAATTCCGAGCAGGATGGCCGAACCAGACCCAATCGCCAAGAACATCAAGAAGTCCGGATAGTTGAGGATGAAGACTCCGGCGACGATGCCTGCTATGATGAGGATCATTCCAAGGAGGTAGAGTAGGATGACGCACACTCTGGAGCAGCCGCGCTCAGTTTCTGGTTTGGGAGCCATTCTAGTGCCTGTAACAGGAAAGATCAGCTGATTAGCTATACTCTATCACCTTTCACTTTCAAAGCACAAAATAAAAGAGCTCGAACGGCCATGATGACGCTTTTACGATAAAACCTCAGACTTTTGTACCTTGACTAGGGCACACAAGTGTCCAAAAGAGTTATGTGTCTACTAGCTTGAATTCTTAGACGCACCACTAAAATCAGCAAGTTTTGAAACTCCTGTACGGCATCAATCTTTCCTCCCTTCTGGGCAATGAGTACATCAATATAAAAAACAATGTCTTTTAAATATTAAGATGTATATATTTACGACAGGTCACACTGTACCAGCCCGAAGCGGAGTTCACATTAGCTCTGTCCACTTCACAGTGCTGGCCTACGGAGGAGGTAATTCCAAAAGGAAATTATAACTTTGCCCATGTCGGCAACACGCATGCAAGCAAGGAAGATACAAAACAGTTTAGATCCTGCCAATTTGTTGACCGCTACGCACATTTGGATTGTACGAAAAAGCGCCAAACTAACACGAGGTTTTCAGTGGGCAGCTGTACATATTGGACACTGAATGACCTTTGCTTCGCTAGATTCAAGGATACCACACAGCAAGCAGTGTAAGCTCCCACTAAAGGCATTCGAAAATCGACTCATCACTGGAGCAGTTTCGTCCAAAATCGTACAGGCTATTATGCTGTGTTGCTGAACAACGCCCTAACGTCTGCCTGATAGCTGAACCATTCTGAATACCATGACTCAGTTTTGTGCCAATAACTGCAATTAGGACCTTTCTATAAGCAGCATGCCGCACAATTGTACTGGCGAGAGGCTCATTTTACGTTTAAAGTCAACTACACGTCCGCCTTTTTTTACGAATTCGTTCAGGCTTTACATCGCAAATTGTCAATTATCAAAAATAGCTTTTTTTTTTATCTAAAAGGTGAAGGGACGAATGTGTGAGCACATACACCGCTATAGATTTCTTTGTAGTAAGATACATGAATCTGGAGTGACGGTAAGACATACAAAGTGCTTCGTATTTTATATGCGTGGTTCCAAAGTGCCACCTCCGCTTTGAACAAAAGCCTTCAGCGGGGTTTTGATCACACGACGCATGCCGTCTATGTTTCATTTGTTGTCACTGAGAAGCCGCTCGACACTCTGGTAGCTCAATGACCTAAAAGAAAAAAAAAGGAAACAGCGAATCGGGTGAGTCTTCAAGTTCTCCTCAAACTCTCGGAACGCTAACAAAAACAAAACAAATTTAATTTATGAGCGCGCTGCCAATTTACTTGCGCAGTTTGGCGTCTCCCGAGTGCGGGCTAAAAGCATGTGGAAGAACTTCCAAGTTTCACGAACCGACCTTTCACTTTTTTGTGCGTATGCCCATAGACTTTCGTTTGCCTTTTTTTTTTTTACATAAAGTTCTTTTGAGAAGAGAATTGAGGATTACTATTAGTGGCCCAAGAGTGCTGGGACAGCTGACTTCTGATCAAAAAGTTTAATACGCTGGGGCTTTTTTTCAAGAATCCGGCGGAAACTTGGGAACTTCCTGCCGGAATTAACCCTACGTTACGTCACTTTCCACCGAGGGCTTTTGCGTTTAGTCGACAATGGAGCTGTGGCAAGAGACATCTAGAAGCTGAACTGAAAATAAGGCAGAAAGTTTCCAGAGCTTCCACCATTACGAAAACGCAAAATTAAGGAAGGAAAAACGGGAAAGCGGATCTTGCTACTCGCGCACTTATTCCAGGGCATCGGCGGTTCGCTCTTGGGAAGATCGGTCCCTCCCTTTTTCTAATCCCTTTGCGCAACAGGCTTCCATGACAGGCCCGTTGCTCTGTCATTGAGAATCGCAGCCCCCCGTAGAGCTTCCTCCTCTTCAAAAGGCGAAACCGGGGTCGTTTTAAAGACATTTTTCATACTAATTCGAATGTTACAAACACATGCACCACCCGTCCTACTGAACGGTGTCTGTCTGATGAATGTCGCTGCTCTGTCGGAGAAGAGACTGCCGGGGGAACGTTCAGAGAGAAAGAAAGAAAGCAAAAAAGTAAAGGAGTTAAAAAAAAAGCTTATGAGTGCCGACCAACAAAGTCACATATATATATATATATGTCTATATATATGTCTATATATATGTCTATATATATGTCTATATATATGTCTATATATATATATATATATATATATATATATATATATATATATAAACCCGAAGCAGTACCTGAACAACTGTGCCCCGCTTTTTAAATAAAAATTAAAAAAAAAACTAGGAGACGCATTTCTACTACGGCTGCTCAAGTCAAAGGAAGTCATGTGCACATCATTCCTCGCGTGCCTGGTGGCGACAGACGATATTCAAGATGTTGGGGATTCTCAGGCCGATCGTTTTCAGTGTGTGGCTGTTTTAAACTCCAAACAGCAGCGGTGACGGTGAGAACAGAAGGATGAGACTAGCGGCTCAGGCACGCATAGAAGCGATGATCTCATACAAAAGAAAAAAAAATCAATTTCAGCCAATTCTGTGCCGTGTCACATTCGGGGTGCTCCGGGGTGCGAAGGGGAGTTATATATTTGGTTTGGATATACCGTTTTATGGTGGGTAGCGCCATTTTGATTACTCTACCGCCATCTACCGAGCGTCAGTTTCCGCGGCCATGCTGAGTGGTTCGAAACGTTGGCGAAAGTGCTCTTCGGTGCCCCGCTCCCGCGTTGGATCTGCTGGTTGGGTGCTCAAAGTGCTGGGCATCGGACTTCAGGCGCGTCTTGTGCCATGTGTGCAGCGGATGGTGTTTTTCGATTCATCGGGAGAGTTTCTTTCCCGGCATTATGGCATCCGCCAGTGCGGCGATGCCGAGAAGAGTGGCACTGAAAGCGCCACCGATAGGGATCGAAGGTGCCTGTACTCAAAATATTCTACACGTTTACAGCGATTGAATTTTCCTTCAGGTTTTAGTCCTTTTAGATGCGGTACACTGACTACATTTTTGGCTTTTTGCGGTGTCCACAACAATGAAACATAATGTGAACAAGAAAGCGCGTGATAAGATCATTGCAGGGAACGATCGAAGGCAGCTGCCTCCGGCTTGCAGACGTTTATAAAAGATTTCATTGAGGATCCCGTGTCGACAAGCGTGTCCTTTGTCTAGAACTGAAAACATCGAAGTCGAGATGGCCCATTGCCGGAGCGAGTCGATCAATGATTCAGCGACTGAGCATGTTTCAGCAATATTTTTTTTTATTTCAGCTACGTTATGAACTAATTTGCAAAACAAGAAGAACCCAGTCGCGCCATGACGGTCAATGCAAGTTTACGGCTCACTGCCATCACGCAGGAGATCAAAATTAAGAAAAACCGATGAAAAACCGATAGAACTAACTTTTCAACAAGTTCCAGCCACACCCGGTGGCAGAAATGAGCCTTCAACTAAGCGTTGTGGATAATAAAGTCGAGTCAATGACACCACTGCAGGATATCAGCATTAAGGTAAATTAAGTTACGAAAAGTTACAAGCATGAAACAGACATTATCATGAGAAAACTTGCACCCGCCTTGCGAGCGTAGCCGATGTTCATCGACGAAACAGCGGCAAGTTCGGTGCGAGCTCTATTCACTAAACGTTGCGAGCACACACAAGAAGATGCCGTTGGGAAAAAGTATTTTCGGTTTACGGACGCAACCCACGGCCGCCGGAGGTGTTCGGGACTTAGGGGGTGGTTGGGATATACAATTCACTGGTCAGATTCACTTGTCAGGATAGATTCTCGAAACATTCATTCATTCAAATGTAGGCAACGAATTTAATTTTGATCATATAATATAGAATTTGTAGTGAATGAAAAGAGCTAAGTGTGTGCATTCTGGGGGTGTCAAGCTCATTGAAATACCTTCGACAGGTCACACTTAAAACTTGCCAGACTTTGCCAAAAATCATCAAAAAGAGATAGTTTGACATTTGTTAATTATTATTACAAAATACACCATATCTGCTCATTCCATTAAGCGTAATTAAATATATGTTGAGTGTGGCAGAAAGAGTTCTAGTGCAGTAGTGTGAGAAGAGCACGGAATAGCGTGCGGTCAAACATACAATCCCCGACAGGTGGAAGAAACGGCAGTTTTTGCCTCCGACCGCTTCAATGATCAATAAAATAAAACTTCGGCAGAGACACTTAAAAGTGCTTAAGCGTAGGAAGGCAAAGGCATTCGTGCACGCAGCGCATTCCTACAAGCAGCGCGCCGCGTCTTCCTATCGCACACGGCCCTCCGGTAGTCACATATCACGCTCCCCCACTGCGCAGGCGCGGCGAACCGCGCTGGCCTCACAACTGCTTCAGTGACAAAGCATCTGCGTTGCTGTGCTTTTCTTTGTGTTTTATTTCTGAAGCGCATCCGCTTTGACCTTGAGCGCACTCGCCGGCTTCAGTGACGAGGCATCTGCAGTGTTGTGCCTCCTTTCTGTGAGGTTTATTTCTGAGGATATATATATATATATATATATATATATATATATATATATATATATATATATATATATATATATATATATATATATATACTCTCATCTTCATTAGTGTTTTCATTGTTTCCTAGTTTTCTATTTTACGTGAAAACAAAGCAAATTTAAATACCATTTGCTTTGCAAAAAAGGCAGCGATTATATTGGAAATCGGCAGCGCATAAATCACGCAGTCCATTTTTAAAGCGTCCTTTCCTAGCACCAATTAAATTTTGCAGTTAATAATCTCAGTACATATATATAAAAGAAAGTGATCAAAACATATTTAATTCTACTTTTATATCAATGCGCAACACAATCTCACAATTCTTACAGAATACAATGGAAAAGGATGAACTATAGAACTCAACATTCGACATACTTCTTGATCTCTTTAACGAACAGTCATTCTATTGCGTCCCCAGAAATAAGTACAGACTATTTTTCTTAAAAGCCGTCAACAAAGCCACACAATAGCGGTCTGCGCGCGCCGGTGACTTGTATGGCCGG